CACCTTGGGCACTGGGAGACATCAAAAGTGACAGTTCGCAGGGGCAAATCGTCGCATTGATATCCGCCCTACCCTATCCGACGTTTTGCCAACACATACCCGACTCTCAACTATTCCCAACTTCACACACACTCCCACCCATTCTTCTTCCGCCTTTAATTCGTCTACAAATCAACCCCAACTGCCGCGAACAGCCCCATTTCCCTCCTTTGACCCATTCGACAACGGAGCCGTCACAATGTCCAGCTCCACCCGCGCCAGCGAAAACAAACCTCCCGCCCGCACTCTCGCATCCACCAATAACCGCGACACCCATGCCACCAACAACGCCAACACCGCTGGCACTACCAACATGTCTTCTAGTGGCACTACCAAGTCGATTGGCTAGAAGCCATCTGACTCGCCCTTCAAGCGTGCTTTAACTGAAGCTTTGTTTCCCACTGCTGCCAAGGGTGCAACAACCAGATCCAGGTGAGCGCTCCTTAGCTCTCCCGTTCCTGCCGCTCTGGGAAGTCCATCATGTCCACCTTGCTAATCTCTCAATTATCTTCCTCCCCAGGCTTTCCACTCCTTTGAAAGGTCGCGTCTGTACTCGAATTCCTCGCCTGTCTGCATGGCGTGCTGCCCATTCCGAAAGGAGCATCAATGGAAATGCCGGCGCACAAACCCCAAAGGACAAGACCATCCAAACCACGAACCATAAGGGTGACCGAGCCGACAACCGCGACAAGGGACATGACCTGGCCTCTGTTGCTAGCGGCGATCCCTTCGAAACCCCCGCCAAATACAAGATGACCATCCGGTAGACGAATCTCCGTCGACCTCTGAAATGCTTGATATCCTTATTGCAATAGAGGAGGAGTCAGAGAAAGAAAGAGATCAGTTTCATTTGCTGCGATGATATCCGCAAGACATTCTGCACGAATCAGCGCACGGAAACGCGAGCTACTCCAGTAGTTAGTGATAGTGGAGGCCAGGTGCGATACGCGGTCCTTAACGTGCAGGAACCACAGGGCGGACTACGACACGAGAGGTAGACTTCCCAACGCTCGAGTGAATAAACTCTATCAAGTACTACAAAGCTAGCGAATGATGTGCATCTTGTGAACATTCAGGACACTGCCGACCGCCAGTCTTGCTGTGCCATTGCCGACATGGATCTGATCATATCCATGTGCAGTGCCCAAGACGGACAAAAATCCGGTTTATTAGCTGTCGTGGGCTTGCAGGTCAATAGAGACTTGTTCTGCACAGGCGCCATGAGGAGGGCAGAATGCCCAGGCGGAAAACACCAGGACGGGAAGCAGACATGACTGATACTTCATCGCTTCACCCGACAGGCATTTCTACACAACCGGGGAGATGGAGAGTGCCCAGGGAAGACATGGGTAGAGGAGGGAACAAACCCGAGGACAACAACTGGCTGCATGTGCCATGTCGAATGTTCTGGTGACGTAGTGTTCTAGCGGAAAAATGCCAGAACCCGACGTCACTCGCTAGGAGCCTCATGGAATCACTGGTGCACACCCAGCCCAAGGCCCCGGCGTCATGCCCGAATCCACATTGAGCGCACGCTTAACGGGGTTCAGGGAAAAGAAAAAGGCTGTCTCGGCCCCGGGCGGCAACCTGGAATGAAAGACAAGAGGGCGAATGAGCAGGTGATAGGTCATCGTTGTCGATCTTCGCAATCCAGATGCAGATGAAAGTCTCGATGGCCCAACCGGCTTTGAATCTGACGTATGCAGCAAAGCTGTTCAAGCGGTCATCTTATGTTATCACAAGCTCAAAACCTAGGCTCTATCTCGCCTGGCTGGCTACCACGCCTCGTGTACCTCCTCTACCACCACCCCCACGCCAGCTAGAATTTTCGGCTCTTGCGCCACTGGGTCCATTTTATCCCTCTTTCTCCGCATCTTCGTCGCAGCTGTTCAGCAGGTACTGCCAATATCAGACGACGTGTGCTTTCGCTTTTGGATCCGCAGCGGCGTCCGGCCTGACGATGTTGGTGACTAGGCATGTTTGGAGGAATTCAGAATCAAAGGCTGGTCGTATAGATAGGCATCTGAGGGAACTCTTTCAGGTGAGTGACTCTAGATTTGACCAGAGTTAACAGGACGAGTGGCTCGGCCGGACGTGAGGTGACAATCTTGTGGCTTTTCGTCAGGAACACCTCAGCAGACCTAGCAAGTGTCGAGGATATTAGTGACTTCAACGATCCAACGTTCGAATTAGAGGAGGAAGAGGTCGCAAAGGGCTTCTCGGGGGAGCTGTGCATCGTCAGGTTGTCAAATGCTCCCTGCATGACGTCCAGGCACAGTTTGCTACCAGGTGGGGAGATAACGGTTATGCTTTTAACTGAACAACACCACCCCTTTGCATGCACCGTCATCGCCCCCATTGATGCATCAAATCATCACTACCACCCCGTCCTGTTCGCTCATTGCGTGAGTGTCCTCTGCGTTTGCCGCACACGAAGACATAGGACTTTGAGTTGCTGTTAACGACAGTCACTGGTGATTGCACTTACAAAACCCCACAATGCGAAGTCATTATTCAGCACAATATGCAGGACTTTCAGGGGGCCGGAAGGCCAGAAATGTCCCGACCCTCGGACTGAAACGAGCTGGAAGCGCTTGCAGAGTGACCCTGCTGTTGTAGAAGGATCAGACTTTCGTGCAAGTTCATCACACATGCTGAAATTGTACTTCAATGCCTTATGATTGACTGCCATGGGATTCCGCTCGGTTCCAGAGCTATGATGATGATGACAACCCTTTAGATCCGAAGCGATTAGCTCACCCACTCTTCCGTCTCTATTAGGGCTGTATGTCTATCCCCAAAAATGTGAACAAGTCCACCAAGAATAATCTTCGATTTCGACGCTCGATCAGGCCAAAGAAGCTATCGATACGCAGTTAATATTCGATACGAACTTCGCCAATAGGCCGAGCAACTTCACAGTAAGGTTGCATTCGGTTTGTAGGAAGATGTCTCAAGGATTCTCCCTTGCGAGGGTCGTGTTTAACTCTGTGTCGCCAGAATTAAGCAGAAATAGGTCAATCTCACCGGCTTCCGTTCTTGAACTCTAGAACGAGATGACAAGCTCTCTTTCACGTCAGCCAGCGTTTTCCTGGGCGCCAAATCAAGCCAAATATGCTACTGAGGCCGAAGAAGAAAGCAGGGAGCTGCGCATCAGGGGTTTGAACTCCGGGTGGCCGTCAAGTTTCGAGTCTACTCTTATCCATTCGTCTCGTTGATGCAGATGTCTGGGGCTGGCCAGGTTGTCCCCGTTCTCAGAAGTAAGCCGAAACTGGAGCCCCTTGTCCTGCTTCACAACCAGAGCAGCCAGATCGTCACATCAACGCCGAGACAGCAAACATGTTTTGGCGTTCACAGCGCCTGAGTCGGAGCAAGCTGCTCGTACCCTGTCATCGCCACGCTCGCGGCCGTGTCTTCTGCGGACTCGAGCAGATCCGTGACGCCCTCATAAGTGGCTGAGTGCTTGCTCTCTGAGCTAGTTTTGTAGAGATCCAAAACGTGACTTATTAGTTGGCTACGGTCTCGATTGTCGTGAGGCTGCTGGCAACAGCCAGAAGATGGCAACGAATACCGATGGAGGACAGCATGCGCTGGTTTGTTGGGTTGCTCAGCTAAGATTCGGGTCGACAAATGGGATTTCTGTCTGCTGAAACCTCAAAATGCTTGGAAGCTTACCTTCGAGAAATAAAACAACGCAAATCGGAGTTTCCAGTATGCAAGACATTGGCGGCTTCGTAGCTGTGGACATATCGCTTATATACATCGTCGACGAGGGATTTGGTATAGAGTGGATATTTTGATGACTTTGCTGAAGGTTCCATATCCCCTATCCATTCGGGCAGCTCGATTGAACAGTAGCTGGTTCAAAGGCCATGACGTGGCTGTGAGTAGAGGCACACACGTCGCTGATCCAGATGTTGTGTGAAACTGTAGCATCGCACCATGCGAAGCTATAATGAGCAAGCCGAACCGCACGAGAGGATGAAAAATGGGGCAACCGTCGTTGGCTCCGTTTGTTGCACTGTGGAACTCGAAACCCCCGCTTTATTCCACATAATCAGGCCTTGTTGCAGAGTGTCCTGCATTGGCAATATCCCAGAGCAGCGGTTTTGAAGGGCATATGTTCAGAACGCCAGCGCGATCAAATCGTAGTAGGTCTTGGTAATAAACCGCCAATCGCGCGTGGCGCAATGATGCAAGTCCTAGTGATTCACATAAGGGATTCTTTCTTGTCTGTGAAGCAATCAAACTCAGCTTGGCGTCGACATTCCCATTCACTCCAGGCCACCGCGCGACGGATCTCGATGCATCAGATCTACTGTCCACGTTTCATACATCCTGAAGCTGACTTGGATTGTTCTTGACATTCCCCAGAATCATGCCCTCTTAATTGCCCTTCTGGGTCGTTCCCAGAAGTTTCCCATGTCGTGCCAACATGGAAACTCGCTAACTGGCAAACGGCGCTCCTGTCGGAAATCTTGGGCGAAGAGAAGCCGATTGATGGTCGTGCTCTTGTTCCGATTTGTACTACATTCTATGGGCCCCCTTGCGGCGCCTTTTTTGGTCTTCTCCTTGAAGGTGTGAGAAGTCTGACCATGAATGTGACATGTCAATGTCATCAGCCCTGGTCTTTCTCAAAGGTTGACTGACGTGCTCACCGCCGGGCTACTGCATATGAGCGCGTCAGGGGTCTGAGCACTGAGACATGACAGATGAAAAGGCCCGCATTGAAGCTGATTACAAAGGCGCCGAATTGGCTGCGATTGAGGAAGTTGACCCTACTGCGCAACTTAAAACCAACAAGCCCCCATGACCAGGAAGCGCCGCATCACTTGCAGATGTGAAGCAGCCCTTCCACATCTGCTCTCACTGTATACACCACATCGTCCCAATCTTTGTTCCCGCGATCATTCCACGCATACATTCCATTAGAACGAATTGTTCCAGAGACCATAGCTATAATGGCTCCCAACTTTGATGCAATGACTCTCGTCGAAATCCGTCAATTCTTGCGAGATTCCTCCATTCGTATATCAGCCCGCGCACGTAGGGCAGACCTCCTGCAAATTGCGAAAGCGTACGGTTTCACAAGCGACGACGTGCCCAAAGACGAAGGCGTTCGACTGGCCATGACCTCTTCAGGACAGCCGAAAGCATCGATTAAAAAAGGCAACACGAAGCCGGCAAAGACGTCGGGCGGGATGACATTCGATGACCCGCTCCGAAACATTCCCGTCCAGAGCGACGATATCTCGTACGTGCAGGTAAACTTCAGTCCGACCTCCCTCACCATCGCGAAGCTGCGTAACATCTTGGCAGCCCACGAGGTGTCATACGCCACGGCCAAGACGAAGAAGGACTTTATCCAGCTATTCCTATCTAACATCAAGCCGCGGGCTGCAGCAATCATCAAAGCCATGGCCGCAGTCAAGAGAACAGATGCAGGAATCATTGACATGAGACCATGAGTGATTCAGCATCTTCAGCGCACTTCGCCGTCATCGCAGCAGAGGAACTAAGCCGAGTTGTATCATGCTGTTGCGGATTGAAGTTAATTGCTTGACAATGCTGCAGTCTTTATTGCTTGCGGTATCTTGAAGGGACAGCCCAAAGGCATAGCCATTTTCGGGACATACCGGGAATGAGTACACCGGACTTGTTGGTAAGTCATTTCAAACACCACCACTGAGACGTCAAGCTCTCTCAGCGTTCAAGGTCGAAGCTTGAATCTACGCTTATCTTAGTCTCGCGCAAGATTCAGTTGTAAGTCGCCGCAAGGGGCTTTATAATATCTATCGTGCATGCAACATCCTTTCGCGCCCCTTGTGGCTTTTTGTGAGACCGCGGCAGACTCCATTGCGGGATTTCTAGGGGCGCACAACCTGCGATCTTCGACGTGGTAGTGCCAACTGCGAGATTCTATATCCTAGAGAGCTATATGCTTTTTCCTGTCCCCTTTCTTGCGGATGGACGCAATCTCTTACTCCCTGACGGGCATAGCTGGTTCATGTCTGTTGACCGCTAAACGTCGCCAAGATTAACGTTAATGGAAGCTTTGCGGGGGGGAAGCAGTCCAGAAATAAAACGTGTCAGCGAAGTCGTTATATGAATTCGAAGTTCTCGATGTGGTCTGCTATCGAGCTACTAGCCGATCAACCTTCGATTGGCATGACCCAGCAGCTCGCGAGTTTAGCGGAGCAGCAGCTGATAAACAGATCTGCATCCCCTGCGCAGTTGTTGCATTAGTGATGGAAAGCCACGCGATCAAGTGTGTGCGACCAGGATTTGGCTGTCTCATTGTGCGGGTCATTGTGCGGGCGAAGGAAAAAGTTGCCATGCCGGCGTCCATAACGGAGCGACGACAAGGCTTGCAGCTTTGGAAAATGTTATGTGGAACAGGTTTGTTACACAATAAACGGCAACTATTGAGATGATTGAAGTGAGGCCTGGCAAACCCCGACCATGAACAAAAACAAATTAGCCTCAATCACAGTTCATCCAGTCCAAATTCCCAGAGAGCTTATCCTTGAGCGTCGCGACGCTCAGCAAGCTATTACTGAGTATGGCAGTCTTTTGTCACTTAGCACCCTGCGAATTACGGTCACCCCGGCCAACGGAGCCGCAGCTGTCGTTCACAATGCAACTCACCCCCTGGAAGTTCCCCAGATCACATGCAGGACCCCGCTTCTGCTGCGACCATGGGAGGTACTGCCGCTGCGACTGCAATTGCAGCGCATACCTCGGCGGGTTCTCGTGCGTGGGATGCGAACACAGTAGCAGCTGCTGAATATTTGACCTTCGTGCGTAGGGTAGATGGGCAGCGAAATGAGACAAGTGGAAGACAAAGTAAACCATTTCCATAGCTGTTCCTCACTATCAACGACAAAAGCAGCAACATCATCATCAGCATGTCTTACATCTGGAGCCAAAAAGCAACATAAGTCGTCACACCGACAGCCTCTTCGGCGATAATGGACTTCTTCCGGAAGAGCCCGTGCTTCAGGGTCCCTGGCTGAAGTCACCACTTCGAGCATGAGTCCCGATGATTCGGACCGCCAATGCTCGTGAAATCACCCATGGTTTCAGTATGATGTCCAATGTACGGTTGCCCGAGGTAGCCTTGGAGTCGGGCATATCGTCCACTTTCTGCTTCCCATAAATGTCAGACAATGCCCGGCCGGCCACCGAAAGTGCCTTCCAATCAAGCACCTTGTGTACCTAGGCTCATCTGCACCTTTAGCAATCTCCAGCGATAACGAGTCAAAGAATACTAACATCCACCTGATCATAGTTAGGACATACATCAGAGTCCGCAACAAGCCTTCGCTATAGACATACTCATATTAGCTGGGCGATCGACCTGTTCGGGCCGTCAGGGGATTTCCAAGGTCGCCTATTCTCGTTGGGGTTGGACCGGTTGGTCAAGGGAAAATTTGCTAGACGGAAATACTGGAAATGAAATCGATTCGTGACGCGCCAGTTCTGGGTCATCGAGTTTTGCGACGATCGAGGTCCTAGCGAATTTCGATTGCGGGGATGGATGTGTTCATTGCCACGGGAAACATCCCATTCTATGAGAGCCTCAGGAGACACTTTTGCCCCCCTGCCGTTTTTTGATCACATGAAATATGTTATAAGCTGAAAATGCAGATGCGATTGTAGTCGAACACGATTCATCATTTGGTCCGTCTGTTATCGGATCCCAAATGCCAACAAACAAAACATGCTAACTCTCTCAGAAACTACAACCCAAACAGCCACAAGTATCATCACAGAACACACACAAACCAACAAGACCCAGGACAGCCCAAGGATCACACAAGAAAAACCGCAGAAAATCCAGAGAAAACCCAGCTTGCTCAATCAAACCAAAGTAGCTTTTCCCCCTGGAACTCCTCTTGAGCCCGCTTCTCCCGCAAGTCTTTGACTCTCTCATATTCAGTGACGTCAATCCACCTCGCGACCCTCTCCATGTTCTCCAGATGCCCCTGCATCAGACTGTTTCGAGTTCCGTCATCGAGCTTTTCAAAGTCAACGCTGACGCATCGACTGATGACGGGGCCGGCGAGCTGCCACTCGTGGGCGATGCGGATGTTGGGAGCCGACGCACTCTGCTGGACAGGGGGCGAGTAAACTGTCGGAGAGGGAATAGTAGATGATGTGCGGAGGATGCCTTTCAGTGGCAACTTATTGCTTCTTCGCCTTCGGTTCAATTGAGTCTTCCTGGTTTTGATGAGGATGAATGGATCAAAGGGCCTTCTGTTGAACGGTCGGACTGGTCGCTTAGGGAGGTCTGGGGAGCGTTTATGCGTTGTACGAGGGGCCCAGGATGGATCTACCTCATCGGATGACACGGATATGGCGTAAATCCGGTCGTAGTCCACGCTCATGTCGGTGGCGCTGTCATCATGGTTCGAGGGGTCGGAGACGTCGGCTTGGGGCCCGTCTGTGATGGAGGGCTTTCTGGACGCCTGGAATTCGGTGACTCCAGGCAGAGAGAGCGGGTCTGGGGACTCGTCACGCGATGTGAAGCTCTTGAGGAGGCTGACAGCAACAGTCATGGTCGGGCTCGACTTCTTGAACGCTTGAGAGGACGACTGAACGCTGTTAGTATTGAATGGGAATGCTTTCGCAGAGGCGTGGCAATGGTGAGTACTCACCGTGGCTGGAGAGAGTTCGATAGACAGACAGAACTTCGAACAGGAAGCGGGCTTTAGACGTGGTGGCGCCAAAAAAGGCGGCGGGAGAAGTTGCTGGCGGGAAACTCTGAAGTAAGTGGGGTAGAAATGGTAGTGTTGGAAGAAAATCTAACCGAATTTGTGCGGGGTTTGTTGGAAAAGATCACGAAGGGCAACTGGCGAAGACGCGCGAACGCGACGCGTGGACAATCGAGACTTCGAGGAAGGAACGAGAAAGAAAGCGTTTGGGGAAGGAACGGCCAAGCGAACGCACAATCATGGTCGACTCCTAGTTTTTGGAAGTCAAGAGAAGAGAGGTGACTCAAGTCTTGCGCTACCTATCATCTTATCAACCCACAGCACCCTGTTCAAGCAACTGGAGAGCCTTCGTCCAGCAAACTGATGTGAAGCTCCTACGTCGAGTCCCAAGGTACCCATCACCAGATCGTTGGACGGCAGATGATGGTCTCATCGCTCCGGCGTTCTTTGATATCGATGACCCACTAATCTGGTTTGAACACCCGCCTCACAACTTCAGCTTCAGCTGGCAACATGGTTCTCGCTCATTTTTGCTCAGTTAAATACTTGCTACAATGCCCCCTTGACCCCGAAAAGCCGTAAACATCCTGGACTTCACGCTCTTGCTCCATTTAAAGCCTCGAGAATCTCCTGCTTCTTGATTTTTTGGTGTTAGTAATACTCATGTTAGCGCCGACGACCCAATGTGAGGCTTCTTACGGTGAGATGGTGGCATGTTTCGCTTAATTGGGGGCAAGAAACCCGTCGAGAGGAAGGCACAACCCAGCTGTGAGTCGGCCAACTTCCAACCACCCTGAACCAACTCTCAAGTCACTCTGAAGACCTACGTTTTCAAGCCTGGAGGTTGCAAAAGTGGAGCCTACCGATCTTTTGTCGCTTTGTTCAGGCTTTTGAGTTCCAAAAACAGGGTGCTGGTCACTTTGACTCTCCGGCTTGCACCTTCCTTCAGTGCTCTCAGTCAGTCCCTTTATCCTTGCTAGAACACAATCCAGCCACCTAGCTTGAGATGGTGCTAGAAATGAACTTCTATATTTTCTGCTCTCCTACTGTCCAGATTTGCAATATGAACTTAATGAGAACTTGGCGGTGCGTAAGCCACAGTCCCAAGCTTGAAGGTCTTAAGTAGCAGGCACCTGGTTGATAAATTTCATCTCTGCGTAGGTGGGCCTTACTGCTTTCGTGAGACTTATGTCAACTCTCGGACTCAAAAAAACGTGTTGCTAGCCTTAGATATGATAGCATTCAATTGTTGGCGGCTAGCAATATGACATTGCTATGCAGGGTCAACCAGATTGATTGACTGTGCGACTCACGTAATGTGCAACCCACGTAATGTGCAACCCACGTAATCAACGATAATTAACGGCTACAAACTGCCTTCTGATTCAAGACGCCGCATCAGTCTCTGGACCATTCATCGACGCATTGAAGCGGCGCAATCGCTGCTTCCACCACATGATAGACTAACCTTCAGGTGCTCGCAGAACTTTGGATTATGCAGGCTTCGCAAATTAGGTTGAACTACTGACCTCCTGATGGGGTCTGGAATCATGCGTAAGAAGACTGCATGCTGAGCAGAAAGGCTCGTAATAAGCGCTAAGAATGGATCTGAATAATGAAACTATCCTGTGTTGGATCCCAACCTCACAGACTTGTATGAAAGATTCTTCCCACTCGTCTTCCTGGACGACCTTAGGATTCCTTGAAACGACCCTGGATAGCTGGCAGATTTGAGATATTTCTCATACTGTCTTCTCGTCTAATTCGATTTATTTCATCTCCGAATCCTCTTAACTCGTTCAATAGAAAGCTGCTCTGCTTTGTCGTATCAAACATAACGAGCGGCACTGCGTAGTTGAACGTGCATCGCAATCTTCTTCAGAGTCTGCCGTGACGACAAGAGGATGCTTTCGGGCATGTGATAGAGATGTCATCAATAGAGGAGGTTGGGACAGCCCATTCAAAGCGAGTTGAACTTTGCGCGATACGATTCAGCGGAATGGAGGTTCCTGGGATAGGCATTAGCGCGTGTGAGCATGGAGTCTGGTGACTTCTAGGATACTTTGAGGTTGAGGTTGGGGTTTGTACCGAGTGTGGGCAAAGGTGACATCGGTTTCTCAGCATGGGTGCCTATAATTGATGGCGGGAAGTTACAGGAGAAATCGGAATTAATGTCGGGATTTATCTTCGACAACGACTGAGGAAGCGTCGTTGGTTCCATTTGATTGTCGACGGGGGAAGGCAAACTGTTTCGGGACTCCGAAGTAGATGGGGGAGACTCGACATTTTCTTCTCAGGCACTGTTTATGTTCCCACCGCCCGAAGCTGTCGTCTTTGTTGTTGCTGAGGTTGCCGTCGTGCGCTAAGAGTGCCTCATTCTGGTGTCGTGGTATTTCCAAGTCGACCACAACCAATGCTCACGTCGTCCTCACTTTCAGCTTCGACTTCAGCGTTCACTTCATCATCGGGGCTGATGGAGGGATGCTGTGCCTGCTCGGGCTGGGATTGAGATCAAAACCAGTGCGATAGCTACATCGACGTCCTAAAGATCCATCCCTATCAGACAAATGTAGATATCCTTCTGCAAGGAAAGATACTAGACAGCACAGTTGTGAACAAAAACCAGAGCCTGATCACAGCTCAAGTCGGACTTTCGGCGCTCGGGGTCCTTCAGGCTCCCCTAGAGGAATTGCGATAAGAACAGGAGATAATGAACAACAAACCCCCTAAAGCAAACACCAACAGCGAAACCGAAACCGAGTCACAGATCGAATCACGGAAAGAACCGAGACCGAAGTTGATGATGTAAGCAACAAATCGTTCATTACCGCAATATCTTGCATCCATAGAGATGCTGTTGCCATTAACATGTGAGCGTTTTTCGATGCAATTTCCGCACCGGAGTGTCCGGTTTATTATTCGCGCCGCGCGCGATGCGATCCGACGGGAGCTTGGTCGGCTTTCATAGCCTCTACCGAGAGTTAGGGCTGTGAAAGACGTGGGGGAATCACGAGAGACCTTTGGGTAGTCCGTCCCCCTTTCTCGGCTCATCAAAATTGGGAAGAATGGCAGTCTTTCCTGCTCTATATGAGTCAACCTGTCGCAATGCCCGAAACATTGAGTTCGGTTTACGAAACAGTTGATTGTCTCAAGAGCCTATCTTCATTGGGTTTCGTTGTCGATTACGACCCCTATCATGAAGAATACCAAAGCTTATCTGCTGGCTATAGTAGCCCTTTCGGAATCGTGCTGCTTTGCCGGGACAAACAACGGAGATCGGGTCATTCAACTCGGCAAGGACTACTACAACGGCACGACCAAGGTCCAGTTCATCACGGAGGCCCTCGGTGAAGCAGACTTCTTCAAGATCGACCCAGGCCCGAACGCAACTACCTTTGACTCGTACGTCATCAGACCCTACGTGCAGCTTGGGCCCCACTGCTGCCACTCCATGCAACTGACACAGCTATCCACAGGTGGTACTTTGATGCGATGAACCCTTCGACCAACGAGACCGTCGTCTTCAACTTTGAGATCCAGAGGCCTACCGACAACGGCGCGGACGTAGGCATCACGCAGTACCACGTATCCCTGTTCGGATCCTTCGCAAACGGAACGGCTTTCAGCTATGGAGTCAACTCCGAATTCGCCAACATCACCGAGAGGGCGGACAAGAGCATGCGCGTGGACTTTTTTGGCGGCAGCGAGGTTAGTTGGTCGGGCTCGAGCTTGTTACAATCGAGACCAGTGTATAATGTCACTATCAACTCGCCCGAAACCGGTATCTACGGAAGTCTGGTCTTGCGAGGCAACGTGAGTACATTTCTACCTTACGGACATACGCTTAGAGACTGACGAAGTGGTTGTTACAGACCGTCGCCCCCCACTACACCTGCGGCACCGATGCAGCCGGTGTAAACGAGAAAAACGTCGAAGGCGTAGCCTGGGCCAACGCTCTCCCTGATGCCGAAGCAACAGTCGACCTCAAGCTCGGCGACACAGCCATGACCTTTTCTGGCTACGGTTACCACGACAAGACCTGGGTTGACCGCCCCTTCCAGGAAGCAATTCAGGCCGCCTTCTGGGGCCACGCGCGCCTGGGACCCTACGCCGTCGTCTGGTGGCACCCGCACGCGCAGGACGGCACAGAGATCAGCTCTGAGTACCTCGCGACCTACGAAGACGGCCACGTGATTGCTTCCCGATGTGTCGACCGCGCAAATAACACGCTAGGGTGGGGCGAGGGACAGATTTGGCCGCTTGTGCCTGGGACACCGGCGCCGGCTGGGATGATTATGCGGTGGGATTTGGGGGATGCTGGTGTTTTTGTTGCTAATATTACGAGTAAGGACATTTTTGTCACCATTCCGTTTTGGCAGGCCGGGAGAGGACCTGTCTCTGGTGGATTTGTTGGTGGAGAGCAGTACACAGATGAGACTGGGCTGTGGTCTCTTAACCAGCTTCCCAAATTGTAGTCAGGTGAATCTTGTATCACTGCGTACTTCCTGTAGTAAATTTCTTGCAATCCCATGTTGTTTCACACAAAGCGGGGTTTGTTTTGCTTTATTTGTGGCTGTTGTTGACTCATGTCGGCTGGAGAGCTTTCGAAATCTTCCTCCTGACTTCATTCACTTGAGCCTCGACAGCCTCTTGTATCTGTTGCGCTATACCGTCTTCAATGCTTTTGCGGATTTTTTCTTGGGCCTTGCATACCATGCCTTCCATCAAGTCCTGAAACTCATCACTAACATCCAGCATTTGTTTCCCAAGCTCGTAATGTTTCCCGGCAAGCTCATCTACATCGCCAGACAGACAGTCAACGGCATCGTTAAAGTCGTCTTGGCGCTCAGCCAGATGAGAACAGGTTCCTTCCAGATCACCAACTAGTTCCTCCTGTTTCTTCTTCCACGTCTGCAATACCTCAACTCTCTTCTGTAGTTCTCCGACGGTCGCCTGTAACTGGTCGACAGTATTTTGTAATTCTTCGTTCTGTTGGTCCCGCTGCCTCATTTGTTGTTGCAGTTCATGCAGAATTGCGATCTGGCTCTCGTCATCTGGATCCACGAAGAGGGATTGCTGTAATTTCTCGGGTCGGGGAGCGTCCGTTGCGGGTGACGTTGTGGCACGTATGGACCACTTCCTTTTGGCTGTTGGACGAAGATCTTCGTTTCCGCAGGGAGGAGCGCCCAAATGGGGATCCAGTGAAGCATCCCTTGGTTTGGTATCGCCATACTCTCTGTCACGGTCTATGGACCGGTGTTCGGCCTTCGGCAAGACCCTCAGCCACGACTCATTGGACCCACCAAATCCAATGGCGTATTTGCTAGAAGGTTCCAGGAATATCGACAAGGTCAATGCCAAGGTTATAAGAATGCCCA